CGGGAGGGCTCCTCAGGCCTCCATGAGCGGCGGAGCTGCGGGGACACCCCGGCTCCGCCCAGCAGCAACAAACAGACTGTCCGGTCATACAGAAATACTGACTTTTAATTAGGCAGTGATAAACGGTGAACTCGAGGCGTGGATCCATTTTCTTTCCCTTATGGAAATCAGTAGACTGGTTTCCGGCAAGGCACAGTTTTAAGTTTTTCATACTTTGGTAAATGGCCTCCCAATACAAAAAGCATATGAAACATTTGTTAACAACAATACAAACTTCGTTGATTTTTTAAAAGACTGTATAAAAACCCACAAAACTTTCAACATCAAAATCCTTACCCTAAAAAAATAGCACCAGGGAGAGTTACAGGCCTTTAAAAATTATTAAAAAGGCATTTCTGAAATCTCCTTACAACATTTTTACAAACACATAATAAAAGGCAGCTCTTACAGGGAAAAATATTTCAAGGAAGACTTGTCTACTACAATTTTTATCACATAAGCTTAATGCCAAGACAATTATTCCTTTCATCTTTGTTTACTTTCTCAAAGTCCTTTATTTTTTTAACTCTTCTATTTATTTGTCTTTTGATCAGATAGGAAAATACGTGAAAAAGATGCCATTGAGTGGAGATTATGTATTAACCCAGATGAGAAATAAAATTGTCATGGGGTAGAAAGGTGGAGAGGACCGCTGTCGGTTCCCGGGGCGGCTGGACCCGAAGGCCCCGCCATCGGCAGCTCCTTCCCCCACGGCTGATCCTGGTCGGGGACTGCAGAGCCTCCTGCTCGCAGCTCCCTGCGGCTGCAGGGACCAGAAACGGGGACAGTAAACCAGGGCCGGGCTGAGGCATTAGTGTTTTGATTCAGGTGCAGGCCAACCGCGGGCTGGGAGTTTGGCGGGAGGGCCACCGTCCTCCGCGTCGGCCGGGCGGGTCACGGAGGCGAGATGGCTAACGGTGGTGATGTGCTGCTACTTGTCCCTGAGCAGCTTGCAAAGAATTGCAGATGCTAGCAGTGACAGAGGAGACTGCTTGGCTTTCTCTCCAGCTTTTTCTAAATTAAGGCTTACTCAAACGTGCATCACTTGGGAACGCCTTATTGGAAGACTTTCGGGAATAACCGCCAGGTAGGATCAAGGAAAATAAACCTTTAAACTTTTCCTGGGTTTCCTTTCTTGCTAATTCCTGAGTGTGGTCTTGGTTTGGAGACCAAGAGAAGACAAGTGGGCAGCTTCCCCCAGCAGAGGGTGGGAAGAGGGTGTGGAGGGGTGGAAAACCGCATAAAAACAGCTCCACAGAGGGAGGAGTGGGAAACGAGAGGCTCCCTCTCTGCGGGGATGCCACCATCTTCCACCGCCTGGGCAGGAGATGCAAGAGGGTCACCACTTGTCAAAGAGGTAGAAAGAGCGGGGAGAGAAGCTCTCATTTCCCACTGACGCTTGCTGGCACATGCTATAAAACACCTCGCGAGGCGGTCTGGGATCAGGCAGAGCATTGACCCCATCAGCACAACAGTGGTTTGCATACGCTTAATTTTGAGAACGCACCTAAGTTACTCTGCCAACTTGAGGCTACAGTTGGTAGTGAAGAGTAGAGGTAGGGGCGGCCTCAGGGACGGGAGGGTGAACTTCCTGAACCGTCTCAGTGCACTAAGGGTGCACTGGAGTTAAAGATCCTGGAAGCGGCTGCCAGGACCGCAGCCTCTCCAGACGGGAAAACCGGCTGTGAGAGGGGGAGCGCTGCCGCGTGCTCACAGCGCTGGCGATAGGTACAGCGTGCCAAAACCTCCACCCGCTGCTAGTTGAAGGCAGCCCCTCGTGCTCCGTAACGCGCCTCGCTGCGCGCGTGCGGGGGCGACGGAGGAGCTGGGGACGCTGCAGCGCTCCTGGCGCCAGGCGGAGCAGCATCAGCCCCGACCCCTGCCCCGGGCGGGCCAGGACTGGCCCCTGCCGGGGGCGGCCCCCTCCTGCCCCCCACCCCACCTTTCTGCCCGCCGGG